GAGGATATAATTTCTCTCCTGTACCGCGGTGAACATGCTTTTCCGCTTCTCCGAGTTGACCACGTCCATGTCAATGACAAGCTGTTTACTGCTGGTGGGCCATTTCAACGAATCTTCCAGCAGAAATAAGGGACCAGAAAACCATGTCGATTTGATAAGCTCGCTAACGTTGCAGCCTCGCGACAGAAGATCAGCTGGATTTTGATATGTTGGGACGTAGCGCCACTTCCCACCAGACGTCATCTCCTGAATGTCAGAAACCCTATTCCAAACAAAGGTCGATAACGTGATTGAGTGTTGTTGCAGCCAATGCAATACGAGCTGTGAGTCGCTCCAAAAATATGACGTGATGTTATGTTCAGAGAATATATCCTTGATTTTGTAGAACAGCTGAGACAGCAAATGTGCGCCGCACAGTTCAAGCTTCGGAAGAGACTGTTTCTTCACTGGTGCTACTCTCGACTTAGACGTGAACAATTTCACTGCGACCTGTCCTAGCGAATTCTCAGTGCGCACATAAATACAGCAGCCGTATGCCCGAATCGAGGCATCGCAAAATCCATGCAGTTGAATAGTCCTGGCGTCGGGCTGCAAACAAAACCGCGGTACCGATAGTGACGAGAGTGAATTCAATGACTCCAAACAGTTGCTCCATGCATTGCTTAGAGTCTGTGAAATAGACTCGTCCCAATCCAGTTTTAACAGCCACAACTCCTGAAGAATAATCTTAGCGACGATGACTAGCGGCGACAGCAGACCGATTGGATCGAATAGCGATGATGCAGTGGATAAGATTGTTCGTTTTGTGGTGGTGGCAAAGATTTCCTTGGGAGTGAAGGTAAAGCTAAATACATCAATTTGTTGATGCCACGTTACGCCGAGTGTGCTACTACTCTCATTCTCTGATGTGTTTAGTTTCTTAATAGAGTCATCTTCCATCACGCCTGGATGATTGGAATGCCATTTGCATAAGGGAAACTGACCATAAGCGAGGGTAGCTGTGATTTCTGTTTTGAGTTTGAGAAGAGTTTCTATTTCATCAGCCCCTCCCAGAAGATCATCAACATAAAACGCCTTTTTAACAGCCGCAGCTCCTAAGGGCCACATATCCTTACAATCATCCGCCAAGTGATGCAAACTACGAGTTGCGGGGTATGGGGCGGACGCGGTCCCATATGTTACGGTATTGAGTTGATAGGTTTGAAGCTCGGCATTTGGGGACGTTCGCCACAAAATATACTGGAATTTTCGATCCTTCACCCCCACAAGCACCTGTCTATACATCTTAGTGACGTCAGCAGTGATGCCAGTCCAGACTCACGCACAATAAGTTGATCGAACGAATTTATGAAATTCTTATAATTCGCATAAGTGCCGTCAAACGTAGGCAGCGACAACCTCGGCAACGATGACCGCACGGGCGGCGGGTGGTGATCCGGCGTCAATATGATAGAATTAAGCGAGAATGGCGAGAGCACAGTGAGAGGTTGATGAACCCGCGATCGATCAGTTCGCTTCTGATATGATTTTCAGAAATTTCGACGGCGACTGCGAGACGAAACGAAAGTGTAGTTGTTGCACTTGCAAATTATGTACCGACGAAGCTGTTTGATGGAATATACATAAAATGCGAGTAATTTAATTGTTCACAGAATTAACACACGTGCCCCACGTTGGGCGCCAAAATGTTTGATCGAGGAGCGTTTTCCTCAATATCGTTGTTCAAGGATGGGGGTGTGTCAATCTCCAAGTGAGCTAATTAACTCGATGCGAAGAAATCTGCTGGAATCCAATAATAGTCCGAAAAGTCGAGGGGGTTCAGTTGAGTGCTAGCCAATGACTATTTATTTGGTTTCTAAGTGCATGAGCACTGAGCATAAGCGGGCTTCTGTGTGGTGAATTCAATTACAAATTTAGTGCAAGAGCGTAACAAAGAGAGTAAAAATGAGCGTAAGGTACTACAAGGCGAGGGTCATTTAATTTATTATATATATTATATGGCCTTAAGAGTTTGATCGAACAGGGGCTATCGAAACCCTGGAACACCTCATATGCAGTTTCCCGGCGCTATCAAGGGCTAGGAGAAAATACCTGGGTACCCCGTTGATGGCATCACTGGAAGAGGCCTCTATAGGGACACCAGGGGAACTACTTGCCTTCGCGAAAACACCACGATCCTCAAGGACTTTGAAACCCCACAACAATGAAGAAGGTTCATGCACCGTGGAACATAGCTAACACAGGGTTGATGAAACAGCTCTGTTTTGTAAACAGTGCCAACTGTATAATTCTGCTTAAATTAAAAAAGGAAAAAATGCACTCTGATGATAAAGTGAGTGTGTTGGTAGTGGCATATATTGTTGCAAAACAAAACAGAATCATTTTCTCTCTCTCTCTCTTTTTGGTTTTGCGGACAGTTTTTTCCTACATCTTCACCCATTCACTTCAAGAAGAATTGTAAAATATATATTCCTGAGCTGGGTATCAGCTGTTTTCTCAGTCCACACACGGTCCCGATAGGCAACTATCGATATAAATCTGTGGATTCCGCTCGTGTTGCTGGATACACACTCCAGGAAAACGTGAACGAAAAATTCCTGCCACAGTTTTTTTATATGGAGTTTGACAGAAATTGTTCGATTCCGCGGTGCTGGATAATATGCTTATATATTTATTTATATCGACTTTAAAAAATGTTACATTTAATAATTTTATACATTATACATCTTTACTGACAGCGTGCGCTCGCGTACGTAACTAGGCAGAGTTTGGGAAAGAGAAAGAGAATGAGTAGCGGGTCTCTTGCTGCAGGAGGTGGAGAAAGCAACTCCATGTTAATTTCTTCATTCTGGCTGTAATTATGATCCAATCTGATTCAGATTCGGTCATTCTCTATCATACTGTTTTATTTTAATTTTAGATTTATCGTTTCTTTAAAATGTTCGTTCTTTGTGTGATCGGAAGGGGGCGGGGCGAAATTTTGAAATAAACTTGTAACGATTCATTGATCCCATGGTTCGTCACAAGCAGTCGGTGCAACCCACGTTACTCCAAGGTTAATATATATAAACACCAACAAATTCGAAGACGCAGCATAGGACGAAGACAGAAAGACGTCGACCGAAGAAAGAAAACCGAGAACTCAGCACTCGACGGAAAGAGCTTGCCAATATTATATAACCAACCCCCACCACAACAAAATCAAGCAACCAAAGCTCTCAAATGACGTGGTCAACACCAGAGAACAGCATTGGGTGATTGCAAATAAGTTTATACAAAAAAATCACCCGATTAATCTGACTCGGCATTGACGCATGCGCACATATTTCCAGATGATTTTAAATCACTCAAGCTTTGCCTTCTTTTATTCTGGCTGAGTTTATTCATGCTCGTTCGTTTTTCGGGTGTCTGTTACTTCGGCTCAGCAATGAGCCAATACGATTATGAGAAAAGACGCAAATAAGTAAACTCAGCTTGTATGATTTTATTCAAGTGAAGGAACGGTCGGCACACAGCATGCACAATGTGTCTAATTGCTTTTGTATGCGTAAAACGATGCACCATTCGGCTCTTCGGGCCAAATCCGTCTGCGTCGACTTTGCATGTATGCGTATAAACCTTTTCAAATACATGTTGGATATGATTGTATTGTAGCTGAGATTTGTGTGAGTGTGCATAAGCTGAGTTTCCCAGCTGAAAACAAGACATTGCAAAGGAATTTTTTCGCAAGAGGAGCCCGACGACCTCTTCGGCTGGAAATTTGCACCGTTCGGCTCTTCGGGCCAAATCCGGCTGCGTCGACTTTGCATGTATGTGTGTAAACCTTTTCACATACATGTTGGATATAATTGTATTGTACACGAAACTGAGATTTGTGTGAGTGAGTAAGAATTAATGCGAGTGGGGCGATTGTCAGCACAAGCTGAGTTTATTCAACACTGAGTATTTTTGAATGATTATATATGAGTACACCAAGAAACACCCTAAGCAAGAAAGTGATCCGAACGAAGCGTCTGACAGCGCAAGTTGAGTTTATTCAACGCTGAGTATTTTTGAGCGATTGCATGTGAGCAAAAACTTTAGCTCATGAGTATATAAAGAAATGTGTGAGTTTTGCAGTTGTCTGGTCAACACCCAACAAAATGAAAACTCAGCACTCGTGCCACGAAAATCAACGATAATGGGAACAGTAAGAGACAAAATAAAGAAAAATAACTACCAACCTCAGAACACGCGCGGCCGGCAGACAGGAAATCCGAGGACTCAGCACCCGGGCCACAGAACGTCAAGGAAATGCGATCACCCCACGCAGAAAAATACAACCAATAACATGGAAAAGTGTCGATCAACACGTTAAAGCGAAACGCGAGCCCGGCTCGGAGCAATGTCCCATACATAGCAGCACTGGCCCTATCAAGAAAGGGAAAACGCTATATATATCTGAGTTCTACCTGTATTAAATCAGTTCACTTGGAATTCGCCATCAGTTTGCAAATCGGGAGTTCACTAGCAGTTCGCTTTGAGTTCGGTTTCGAGTCGATAGGCAGTCCATCAGCCATAGTCAATCGGCAGTCGATCGGCAGTTCATCAGCCATAGCAGTCAGGCAAATAACCAACACGCAAGGCAGTTAACCGGGAATCAAGAAGTAACCTATACGCCGCGGCCCACCAACCAAACTAACTAAGTAGCAATAATAATAGCCCGACATAAATAAACAAAACTATTTAAAACTCTAAAAAAAAATTTGGTTTCTCTAGCTCTTATAGTCTCTGAGATCTAGGCGCTCATCAAGACGGACAGACGGACAGAAGGACAGACGGACATGGCTATATCGACTCGGCTATTGATGTTGATAAAAAATATATCAAGTTTTTGGGGTCGGAAAAGTTTCCTTGTCTTCGTTGCACCCATACACTTTTACCACAAATACAATATACCCCTTAATTCTTTTTTGAGTACGGGTATAACAATAAACATTGGTTTAAGGAATACCATTTATAATAATAAATATAGTGATAGCCCATATTAAGTTCGCTTGTTCCGAGTTTCAAACAGTCTGCTCACTTGACGACGCTTACTTGACTATCTTCCCACCACTGTGAGTTGGTGAACTAAACTCAAATTTCTCAAATTTTATTCTATTTAATTTTAGGAAGATTTTTAAAAATACTTTTAAAATGCCAGTTGACGAAAAAGTATTCCTTGAGGATAACATCGGAAAACGACTAGATCGCTGTGTATCAGATACCATTGTTAAAGGATGTGAGTAACTACTTATGTAACTACTTGTTCGTACACAATTTGTATCACCAAGCTGTGTCATATATAACTTATAGTACCCTCATCGATGGTATATTATTTAATTAAAGTAAATATTAGAGAAATCAGATTAGTTTTTTTTAGACGCCGTTGGTCTATACCAAATTTACAAAGGGGCAGTATATTTAAACTTAATTCTAATATACATATATGTATATAGAAGTCTTAAAATATGTTTTTATACCGTCGAAGAGGGTATTGTAACGTACAATCATATATTAGAGATCACGATTCAATTAATATTGATTCCCTGTTATACCTGAGCAGGACACAGCTTTTTTTATTTCATTCCATTCACAAAACCCATTTTTTTCAGGTGGAGGACTTCTTATTGGATCTGCTGTTTCGCTACTGTTTTTTAGACGTCGAGCGTGGCCGGCATGGCTGGGTACTGGATTCGGAATTGGTGTAGCATATAGGACATGTGAAAAGGATTTAAACACTTTAAAGTAGCATGTAAATAAAAAAATGCAATAAATTGAATAAGAGTTAGTTTCATTCTGTTAAATTAGAATAAACAATTAATGTTGTATGTAAGAAATTATTTTTTGACAGGATGCTCTGTTCACTAAATACACGATGTCAAATATTACTAAATCATACAAAAACATCAATCTTAATTATATATTTTCTCGTGGTGTAATCTAGCCTGAATATCGACCAATTACAGGTTATAATGATTTTGACCAATGGTTGGTACTAACAATATACAATTTAAGTACATTTTTTTTTAGGTACTTCAGTTACTTGCAGTTTGTTCCTTTGGTAGTGTTTAGAGTGAGGGCGGCGCTGGCGGGGCAACAGCTCTGTGGGCATTCCAGCCACACCACTGTTAGCAATCCAGCTACGCAAGCTGTTGCCCTCGCTCTCACGCTTAGGAGCTTTTTTCCCCCGGTGACGCGCTCTCGAGCGCATATTCACCACGCTTGCGCTCCCGCTCCCGCCCACGCTCACGATCACGCTCCCGCTCTCGCCGCCGACAGCCCTCGGCAGCTGGAGTACAACCGATCGAGCTTCAATTCGCTTTTCCACCCAACGCAAAACGGCCGGCTTTTGCTCGCGACATATACATATCCATATACCGAACAAACCCCCGAAATATATATTTGAAGAACCCGGACTCTAACGCTTTTTTTATCTTGGGACTCTCTGGTGGACACCCTGAGACGCCTCTACGCTCAAACATTGGTCCTTCGAGCCGGATTTCTTCGCCTTCCCCAACTAGATCCAGCCTCCGAGCACGGCATCGCCTTCACCACACCAGGATCCCAAGATAAGTACGATTTTCGTGTGCCACAAGTCCCTTTCGTTCGCGATTTGTGTTCCAAAATTCCGAAAAGTCCGAGTTCCGCGATATAAGTACATATATATATTCTTATATATGCACTTATTCCTTCATTCTGTGCCATCCGTTATCCGTGTCTCTTCTTTTTTCGACACCGCCATATTATCGGCGATTCCTGCCGTTCTCCCGTCATTCTCCCGTCATTCACCTTCAACTACCAGTGATACGGTAGTTTTTTCCGATTACTTGTGTCTGTCCATGATTTGCGGACAAATTAAATAAAAAAAAATTAAAACCAAAATATGTATGTACGCACATTCCAGCCCATAAGAGCGGCTTGCGTACATACACACACATCTACATCCGTGTCTCAACAGGTGCATTCCAGCACGACCCACCCCAATAAAATATACCTTGGCACGCTCCAAGTGCAAGTGAATTCACACACACATACACTAATATTTCTTCAGTGAGTTCCATTCGCGGCCTACCCCAATAATATATACATTGGCACGATCCAAGTGCAAGTGAATTCCCACACACCTACATTTATAGCCTTTTCACACTGGGGACCATCCACCATCCACCATCCATTTCTGGGATGGTCCGTAAGGTTTTGCCGTTCCGAAAATTTCCCAGTTATTCCACCATCCATCTGGGATGTTCCTAATTCTCACGTTTCAGTGCGGTATTTTTTCGATAATTGTCAAATGCAACCATATTTCACAACAAAAAATCGGAGATCACTACGAAAATGTAAACAATGACAGACAGGCAAATATAAAAATAAAACAAAATAACCCCGTCCGATCTCACAAAGCACGCAAAAAATATCAAATATCAGCTGCAGGTGATTTTATTTCGATGTGACATCCATCTAACATAAAAATTAAGTGATAAAATTAATTTACATATATGTATATACATATATTATGGATGATTTTATTGCATTATTACCAATTGCACCAGGCACTGAGGAAACCCAATTTCTTCAAATGCTTGGACACACTCGTCAATTTTCTCTGAAGTGAGATAGTTTTTGGACATGTATTCCTCTGAGAATTCGTTGATGAATGCTCTGCAAAACTCATGCAGGATATTGCAGACGCTGTTGGCTGACACTCCGAAAAACACTCTTCTCAGAAGAAGATCCCAAAGTATATAAAGATATGGCGATACGCTTCTCCAGAGGAATTGCAGCTCGGCAGTTTGTGTCCTTCTTCCGTAGCACTTCCAAGCGAGTAACCAACAGAGAAAAGCAGGATCTCTCCATCCTAAAACTTTCCTTAAAAAACGCCTCGTTGTTTTTGGGTACATCCTTCTCCCAAAATGTACCGAACCGCTTCTGAAAAACATAACATATATATTTGTACTTTAAACATTGGTTGCATTTATTAGAAGCACTCACAAATGACCACAACCTTCCGGGCTTCAGTGTTTTCAAAACAGATATCCATTCTATTATCTCCTCCTCGTCAAAGTTATCTTCATCATCATCGTCCATGTCCAACAACATGATTAGCTTGTGCAAGAATATGTTTTGCTGCTGAATCACATTCACGACCATTGAAATGTTATTTATATTCATTTTAATTAAAGTAAACAAATTTTCACCTCACGCAATTGTGAGCAACAGCTGTTTCTCATGGATGGTGGATGGTGGATGGTGTCAATGTGAATCGGTGTTTCACATCTTTCAAAAATTCCCACCGTTCCCCCAGGATGGACTCAGTGTGCAGAGAGTATAATATACAGGTCTCCAAGAGCATTCCATCCGCGCCCTACCCTAATACAATATACACTGGCACACTCCAAGTGCAAGTGAACACACACACATACCAACCTATATACACATTACAGCAACATTAAAAGTATCCATCCAGCTACCTGTGTTTTCTTAATTAAATTTATTATTTATTTTATTTATTTATTTATTACATTTACTTGCATAGTTGGCTCCCAACTATATAACATACATAATTCCATACCATAAAAATACCACTCCCCGTAGAAAAATACCGCGCTCCATACACTACATACATACTCCGCGCAAGTGCCAATTTTAATATAAAATTCGCGATTCCGTACAATTCGTGCACTCTAGCCTTTTTTCACGATCGCTACCCCAACTCCAACATCCTCCACTTTCCAAATAAATTACTCGCGACCAAGGCACGGCGCACTTATAGTAATTATTTGGCAATTTCCACTGCCAATTGGCAAATTGGTGTTTCGGTCTTTTGTTGTTGTTTTTTTTTTGTTCCGTACATCAGAGGTGGCGCAATCCGAAAATATCGGTATCGTAACCGAGTTTTGCGTTCGACCGAAAATAAATTAATAAAAAATAAAAATACTATTTCCAAACAAACACACCGACACTACAAGAAATAAATTAAACGATCCACGATTTCTTATTTAAACCGTTTCGTCCTCCTTTTTCCGATATTTTCTGTTTTCCTTTGGTATATCTCCCGATAGTTCTCCAGCGCCCACTCCGCAGTCATATTCTTGACTGTAGCTTCCGGTAACGCTTACGGCGACTAGGTTTATCTGCACTTTGTCGATCCAAACCGACACCAAGAGCAAACTATCGCCCATTCCAATCAACTATCGAGGATATAAATGCCATTCCGTCCGCCGTCCATCCGCAAATAACCCAGTTCTGATCACGACTGCGTCAAAGAGGTAAACGGAGGAGCCCGCACTAACAATATTTGCAAAATATTGCCAAAATCAGTGTAACCGGTCCTCTCCTCGGCTCAGCGCAATATAAGTCACTCATTGTTTGAGAAATTTCACTTCACCGTGATCTCAAACAATCCGAGTCGACCCGACTATTGTTTTCCAACAAGCTCGAGGCCTTTTTCCTGACAGCCTTCCATAAGTGGGTTATATTTGTTTCCTGGCGTCTTTCTGTTGGAATTCCACTCAGATCAGTCTTCTGTCCCTCCAGGACTTCCAAATCCGATTTTCTGTGCGTGTGTGAGTTCGGAATATGCCAACAGGTCACAAGGACGGCAACCAGCTTCTGCCTGCGACCTCTTCCAACCGGCTACGCACCTCGTCCGCCTCCGGAACTACGCCTACCAAGAGAATCAAGGCACCCCTCACTCCGAGAGCAGCCAGTAGCAGCCCTGCGGCAAGGACCAAATCGGTTCTGTTCCCGTCTCCTGTCACTCTTAAGGTTCCAGCTGTGACCAAACAAGATCCGAAGGGCTCCTTCGTTAGCAGCCCCGTCAGCTCCCGCCACTGCATCACAATGGCTCAATCCGACACCTCAGTCGCTCGGACCAAATTGGCTGCCGCTATTGGCCGACTGTCGCACCTGGCAGAGCGCATCACCGCCGCCCCATCCGCCTCTTTGTCCGAGGTCCGTCGAGGCCAAATCCTCAGCATGTGGACGGACGTCGAGGCCGAATATAAGGCCTGCTCCGCGGTGATGACTGACGAGGAGCCAGAAATCCAAGCGGACATCCGTGACACATACGGTGAATGCTATGGGGTATTTGAGCAGTGCCTCAGTGACCTCAATGCCCAACTGGCCACATCCACAGTTCTTCCTCCTTCACAGCCAGTCCAACAGGGCGGCTGTCGACTGCCTCCCGTCAATATTGAGGCATTCACAGGGGACTACGTCCGCTGGCCCACATTCCGGGATCTGTTCACTGCGGTCGTGATCAACAATCCTAGATTGTCTCCGGTAGAGAGGCTGTATTACCTCACCGAGAAGACCCGGGGCGATCCGAAGGCCATCGTAGAGAAATCCCCCCTCACTAATGACGGTTTCGAGTCCGCATGGTCGGCTCTCCGCAGCCGATATGAAAATAATCGGCTTCTGGTTACCAACCAGATAAACATCCTCCTCTTCTTGCCCCGCGTAACTTCCGAGTGCAGTCGGGCTTTGAAGGATCTACAAAGTACTATGCAGGGGGTCTTAAATGCACTAGCTGTCTCCAACGTCTGTACCGACAATTGGGATAGTCTCCTAGTGACCATCTGCGCTTCCAAATTGCCAAAGTTAAGCCGGGCGTTATGGGAAGCGTCCGTAACGGACAAAAAGGAGGTGCCGCCCTGGAAGGAAATCGACTCTTTCCTGACTCAGCGATACCTAACGCTAGAGGCTATCGAGAGCGACCCCTCCACTTCCCAAGGCGCTCCGAATCCGGCACCAGGCAAAGGCAATCAGAATCCGCCATCCTCCCAAAGCCAGTCCAATCCGTTCCGTTCCCAAGGCAGTCCTGTTCCAAGGACAGCGCACTCGTTTCAAAGCCACGTGAATCCGAGCAAGAGCACGTGTGATCT